ATACCTCATGATTTTTTTGTATTCCTAAATGCATTGCCAGGTATGTATTATTCACTTAATAAATTTTTTTTTTGCTTTCATTAATTCATATAGTTTACCGAGATTTTTAGGGGGAAAAATGACAGAATCTCATGTGTGTTTTTGTGTCCCCAGAACTTAAAACAATGTCTGTCACATAGCAGGCATTTAATAAATGCTTGCTAAATGAATTGAATGAGTGAATGCTATTCTTATGAAATAGTTAGAGTGATGTGGGCTAGACAGCCATTTCCTTCCTGGTCAGAATCATGTTTGTGTCATCAGAATCTATTCTTGAAACCATCTTGGGTCTCTTGGGTTGACTTTTAGGCCACATGGTTGTTGTACTTGTTCTCTTGTTGAACTCTTTAAAATTTTCTCTCCAAAATCTAGAGTATGTATCAGACTCTAATGCAGTTTTCCAGTCCTTCTGCATCATAAAATCTAAGATACTTTGATTATTTCATCACAAGGTTCCCATCATTTCACCTTCTACAGCTAGTTCTTTGTTATTGGTTACAGTTTGGTCTAAAATAGCAATTTTCTTTATTGTCTTTTTTTTTTTTTTTAAACAAGACTGAACCAAAGTCATATCAGGATTTTATCAGCTGTGGTGCTTTCAGTAGAGAGAGGACTGGACTAGAATGTTTGAATAGTCCAAGGCCCTCATCACTTTTTTTAATTTTTAAAATTTTTTTTTATTGGGCAATTGGAGCTAAGTGACTTGCCCAGGGTTCACACAGCTAGTAAGTGTCAAGTGCTTGGTCTGAGGTCGGATTTGAACTCAGGTCCTCCTGACTTCAGGGCCGGTGCTCTATCCACTGCGCCACCTAGCTGCCCCCCCTCATCACTTTTATATCAGTTTTGAGTATGATAGCTCAGTAAATGTATGTGTCTCCATTGACTTCAGCCCTTTATTGTGATAACCTTTAAAAATGATAACTAGTATCATGCATTTTCTAACATTTTCAGAACACATTATTTTGTACCCTCCTGTGGTTTCTGGTGGATGCTGAACAGTTTTGTGTTATTCAAATTTGCTTTCCTTTGTATTTGAAGGTCTTTCTAATGGTTGCTTGCAGAATTTGTTTGTCATTGGATTTATTAAATTTAAGTACTCTATGTTTTGGAGTTTGCAGCACAGGGTTTGTTTTTTTTTTTAATGGAGATGTGAATTCTTTTAAATGATACTTTGTTTTCTGTGTTCAAATGTTTTGGGCAGTTTTCTAACATTATTTCTAGCTGTATAAGTGTACAAGTTTTTTGACATGTATTATCGTGGGATATCTGTAATCCTTAAATTGTATCTATACATTCCATTCTATCTTTGGTATCAGTATGTTTTGCTTATATAGAGCTCGTGGGCTCTTTTAACGTTATTCCTTTTTACTTTTCTTCTTCTATGTTAGCCTTCACTAATGTGTAATTGTACATCCAATTAGTTGTTTTCCCTTTTGTTTATTTGGTTCAGTTTGCCACTGTGGATTCAAGGTTTTCTTTTCTATCAATTATTTCTGCTGGGCAGGCCATACATTTTGCTTTTGTAATTCTTATTTCTTTCTTGAACCTTTTGGGAACATTAGGGTCCTCTGCCTCATCAGGCCTTGATTAATTTCCTTTGTCTCGAGTGCCATTTCTGAATATTTTCCCCCTTACTCCTTTATCAGGCACACAGAGCACAGAATTCGGATAAGGAGGGGATAGTGAGCTCCTGAGGTCCAGCAGAAACTTTGGTCAAGCCCATATAGATAGTTATTATGTCTCTTTTTAGAGGGCAATGATAACATTTTTAGATGGAATCTTAGCTGTGTGTGTACATTCGTGCACACTCTAGTACTTACCACCAAATATTCTGGACCACTTGGTGAATATTATTTAAAATTATCAGTAAGAGTACACCGAGATCCTTTGTTTAATGAAATTTAATAATGTACCAGTTGGCTTCAAAATGTTACTTGCTTAGTATTCCAGGGATTTTTAAACCTCATTCTCCCCTTTATAGTACAGAGTTCTACCCTTCCTGGGTGCTTTTAAGTGGAACAGGTTGTCCTGTGCCAACAGTAATCTTCTTGAGCTATACATGTGCCTGAATTGAAGGAAAATCATCAGTTATCAGTACTACTGCAGGAGAAGGGAGATAACTTTGGAATATGGCCAAGCACATCTTTCCCAGACTATGCCTGAAAATCTTAAGAGATTGTCAAGTGGGAAAACTCCACTCTTGGCATTCTTTCTGACCGTGGCAGTCTTTACGTTGCCCCTTCTGTCATCTAGGTGGTGGGTTATTTTTTTTTTTTAAATGTGAGTGTTCCCCCTTCAACAGAGAAGAATTCTTCATTCTTCTTTCACGTGAAAGGAGTTAATTAAAGACCGCTATGTTTTGTGGTCTGTTTTTGTACTAATCTATTCTCAAGGCATCATTAATTTGCAGTGCATGTGATTTTTGTTTTTGAGTGTGTGTGTATTCTTTCTTTGTGTCCTTTGATGTACAAAGAAAGAGCTCTTTGCTCGTACCAAATTCAGACATGTAGGGATTCCAAACGGTATTAGGAACAAGGACTGAAAGAGAGGTGGAAGCAGCTTGTAAAATGTACTCTTGGAGGAACAAGGTCAGTAACTAGAAAGATTCATATGACTTGCTGATAACATGATTTTTGCTTTGCTGAAAAGTGGCAAAGTACAGCAGATACACAGGTCATGTTTTTCATCTTTTCCTCCTTCTCTTCCTGTACCTCCCCCTTCTTCCTCCTTTCTCTCCCCTCCTCTTTCCCCCTTCCCTTCTTCCTCCCTTTCCTTTCCCCTCTTCTCATTTCTTCCTCTTCTCCTCCTTTTCTCCTTCTCTCCTACTTCTTTTCTTTCATTACCCCCCACCACTCAGAAAGCCTTCATTAGATGTAAAAATCTTGTCAGCATTTTAAAAAGGGAGAACGTGAGAGGTTGCTTTTTCCAAGGTCCAAGATGAGTCACTGCAAAGCTAGGAATAAAATCTCATAGGACTGTCTTGTGGTCTGGACTGTGTCCAGAGTCCCTCCTACATGTAGCATTTTATTGGCCTCCAGTGGGTGCGTAGTGGAAAACAGTCACAGAATACTTACCATGCTATTCCTAAGAACGTACCACAATTCTGATAATTTATGTTCTTTAGGCTCAGTTTCTTCAGAAAACGGTTAAAACGTACCTGAAGTATATCTGCCAGAAACATTTTTCTACAAAGTTAAAAAATGGGGCGAATTTATTATAACTTTCATGACATATATTTGTCATTAAATTATCCTCAGGGTCCTCAGGGAATTGAGGTTTAAGACTGCAGAACTTTTTTTTTTTCTGTTAAAGTAGCCCCCCCAGTGTATCGATTGATCTTTGACATGACTTTGAAAAGTTTCTGGCTATTTCCATTTCATTTTCTTAACCAGATAACTTAGCGTACCTCTGGGGAGGAGTTTTTGAATCAAAATGAACTTCTCTAGTATTTTAGTGGAAAAATGCTTTTATCAGAGCTTCTCATATTGGTGAGGATTGAAACCCGTCCACACTTTCTTATCCGGTGCTGGATTTGCCCTTTAGTTTCTTGGAGCACCTATGCAAGATGCTTGAAAGCCTTTTTCTTGATTTTTTAATGGTCTTGGAGTACCAATGCAGGACTCAATTTCCCATCTGTCATCACTCTCTCTCATTATGAGACTAGCCCAACTTTTCTGATTGTATATTTTCTGAATGGCAGCTTATTGTTGTGGACCAAGCCATTGTTGGTAGCATATGTCTACTGTACATTTTCCGTTTCCCTAATTTCATTTTTTACTGAGAATTTAAAAAAAAGAGAGACACAATTGTCAGTTTGGTTTGCCTCTTACATAATAGCAACAGGGAGCCTTCCTTGAAAGGCTTAAGTTGTTACCTTACATGACTTTCCTGTATATAAAGGCAGTAAATGGAAACCTAAATAATGCAGCATTTTTCCCCCACTGTGGTTTGGCAATGTATCATCTAAGTTATTTCACAGATGGCAGAAGTATTTATTTCACTAATGTGATATGTATTATTAATGTTCCCATTCATCATATGTATTACTGTATATTCATCTGTATTTCTGCATCATCCTTTGAAATATCTGATTGGAATTTCATGCTGGGAAGAGATTAACAGATGTAGAGATGACAGCCTCAGCAAAGCATATCGCCTTAGCCTTTTGATCAGTATTTTCCTTTAAGTGCAAAGCAAATGGTGCCTATGAAAATTGAATTTTGCTCTTTGTGAAGTAGCCCTTGGGATTGTTTGCTAAAATGACCAAAGATCTTATTGGTAAGGTCTCTTAGTTCCTGATTGTGATCTCCTCCTGCTCTGGGTGGGCAGACTGCTCTACTATTGTAAGGAAATAGAGAACAGAACAGTAAAATCCAGTCATCCTAGGAGAAGAAAAGGATAAATAATTTTGAATCAAATAGGTGTTTTAAGATATTTTAGTTTGCTCTTAGAGTGCCCATTTGGGACTATTAGTCTTCTTTGTAATGAAGAAGAATCAGTTTGGAGGTTTTTCTGGAAAACTATAGCATCGGTAATAGAATTCTTTGTATTTACGTAATGTGATGTTAGTAAGCCAGGGGATGCAGAATAATCGTACTGAGGTAAATATACCCTTACCCCAGCTGTAAGAATGACTTAATTTGCGTCATAGGGCAAAGGAGTTCACAAATCCTGACACATACAATACTTGTATTTTCCATGGAAAAAAGACTGGAATAAGAAAATATAGAACTTTCTGAATCCTTCTCTTTCTTTTTCCTTCCATCCCTCCTCCTCTCTCTTTTCTCCCATTCTTTTTTTTTTTTCATCCCAGTGAACAGTGAGCTTAAAAAAATATTTTAAGGTTGAGCATTTGAGGAGAGCAGATTTGGTTACATCTATGCATTCTCTTTACATTTGAAGTTCTAAATAGTAAACATAGTCAAATATAAAATCTAAATTCCTTATTTTTTTTCCCTCAGGTGCCTGAGATCATTAGCTCCATTAGACAAGCTGGGAAGATTGCTCGCCAGGAAGAATTTCATTCTCAATCTGAATTTGATGATACATTTGCCAAGAAGTTTGAAGTACTGTTCTGTGGACGAGTGACTGTGGCCCACAAAAAGGCCCCTCCAGCGCTAATCGATGAATGTATTGAGAAATTTAATCATGTTAGCTGTGGCAGAAAAGCTGAGTTGGACTTACTGTCCCAGAATTCTGAAGCTCTAAATACTTTGGGAGGGTTTTCCTTAACTGATAAGTTCCGATCTGTCTTCCAACCAGGAGGCAATGTGGAACAAGACAGAAAACCAATTAGGAAATCTTTTTCTCAACCTGGATTGCGTTCTTTGGCTTTTAGGAAGGAGTTTCAAGATGCAGGCCACAGAAGTAGTAGTTTTTTTGGTGGCTCTTTTGAGGAAAATGACATTCAAAGCCATCTGATCAGTGGACATAATATTGTGCAGCCAACAGATATTGAAGAGAATCGGACTATGTTATTCACGGTAAAGCTGTGTTGTGAATCCTACTCATCCTCAGTCTTTAATTATGAGATTCAAAGTAAATGTTCATAAATGAAAGAAGTTTCTTAGTGAATTGTTTCAGCAGTTATTAGATATAAGTGCATATGTTTTAGCCTAACCGCTTTCATTCTCAAGATAAAATCTCTCTCCCTTATAAACCTTTAAAAACTTCTGGGTGAGACATCTGAGAATCTAGTTAGTATTTCCCAGAGTTATGCATAATTTTTATCTTGTATTCATGGGAATATAAAATAACTTTTTTCCCTCTGTGGTTATAAAGACAATTTTACAAAGTCAAAAGACCATTATCATATCTTAGAATGATGTAAAATATTTTCTTTTTTAAAAATCACTTTAATTTAACAAGTTCTTTTTTTTTTTTTGGTGAGGCAGTTAGGGTTAAGTGACTTGCCCAGAGTCACACAGCTAGTGTTATGTTTATGAGGCTGGATTTAAACTCAGGTCCTTCTGACTCCAGGGCTGGTATTCTATCCACTTCACCACCTAGCTGCCCCTAAACAATTTTATTTCAAATGAAAAAAGGAACAAATTTTTACTTAAATGGATTTCAGCTAACAAGTAAATTATAGAAAAAAAGTATTCTAGGTTGGAAAATGTTAAATATAGGTCATTTTAGTTGTTTTCTAGATGTAGCCAACTCTTGATCATGTGGAATAACTTAGTATAGAGATAATGTGAATAATTTGAATATACCTCTAATCCCCAAAACAAATTTTTGCGTTAGATCCAGTTTATCCCTTTAACAGTGTTGGTGAATGACATTGAAAGAAATAAATGGAGAAAATGTCTCTTGGCACATATTGGTGCCAGGATAGGCACAACAATATTGGCTCTAACTAGGCTGGAGTCAGTCTCTATTGGTTTGGAACTACTGGAATTTGATAGCTTAGTGAAAAGTGACCTAGTTTTGAAGTCAGAGGACCTAGGTTGAAGTTTTGCCTTTGATGCTTACTTTGTTCAAGTTTTGCTTAAGTTTCCTCATCTGGGTGTAGTGTATATATAATCCTAGAAATTGAAGCTTCTTATTTATATTTTGAACCAAAAATAGCTTGACTCTGAGTGGGGACAATCCCAATGAACCTTCTTTGTCTTAAAACTTTCTTTTACTGAACTTACAAACTATATACTACAGGAGTGACACCTAATTAAATTGGTCACTGAAATGGCAGGGAGGTGTGGGGTATTGTTTGATAACCTCTGTTATTTATCTTGGCATTGATGGAATATCTTTTTCTGGGGCTACAAAGAAATAGCAAAATTACTTGTTTGAGTTTTTAGTAAAAAAAAAAAGTTAAAACATTTTGTGAGTAAAAGGGGTAAGCTTAAATCATATGGAAAGTTTGCTTGTATTGAACACCTTTGCATTCATTCAAGAAGTATTTATTAAACACTTAATTCTCTAGTCACCACAGAGGCAAAGATGAAACATTCCCTGTCCTCAAGGTGCTTATGTATTTTGGGGAGAAAGTATGTATACCTGTAAGTAAATAAAAAATTTACGCAGATATAAATGTAAAGGAATTTCAGGGTTAGGAGGGAAGAATACTAGTAACTGAGGGAATCAGGAAAAGCCTTCTTTAGGAAGTGACCCTTCACCTGAAATGTGAAGGCAGCTGGTGATTCTAACAGGTTGATGCTAGGCATGAAGGGGACAACCTGAGCCAAAGCATGGAGACCAAAGATGGAACATAACAATTGAGGAATATTAAAGAGTGTATGATGGACTATAATATGGTCCATAATGGAAAGTCCATAGTGGAAAGCTAGGCTGGAACCAGATGGTGAAAAGCTTTAAATGGCACACAGAGCAGTCTTTAATAAAAGACATGCTGCATGAGACATTGCTGGTTTTTTTGGTGTTTTTTATGCTGGTTTTTTTGGTGTTTTTTATGCTCATGACTCTTATAAAAAATAGGGCACGATTATAATGTTTTTTATGTTCTTAACGTTACTCAGTGCCTTAAATTTTATTCTATAGTATGCTGAATGAGGAAATCATTTAGTTATTTAATGACTTATTAACAATTGGAGGCAGCTAAGAGGCTCAGTGAATAGAATGCTGGGCCTGGAGTTAGGAAGACCTGAGTTCAAATGTGACATCAGACTCTGACCCTGGGCAAGTCACTGAACCGCTGTTTGCCTTAATCTACCGGAGAAGGAAATGGCAAATCATTCCAGCATCTTTACTAAGAAAATCCCCTGGACAGTTTGGTGAGCTATGTTCTGTAAGGTCATGAAGAGTCAGATAAGACTGTATGGTTGAGCAACAACAGCATTGTGTGTTTTTTTTTTTTAGGCAATTGGGGTTAAGTGACTTGCCCAGGGTCACACAGCTAGTAAGTGTCAAGTGTTTGGTCAGAGCAACAACAGCATTGTTAACAATTATTTGAAGACTGTAAGTAGTGACAACTTGAAATATTTAAAAATCTGACAAAAATATAGCTTTTTTTCTCTCCTTCCTTCCTCCTTCCCTCCCAGATTGGCCAGTCAGAAGTTTACCTCATCAGTCCTGACACCAAAAAAATAGCATTGGAGAAAAACTTTAAGGAGATTTCCTTTTGCTCTCAGGTAAGTAGACATCACTAATTTATTCTTCTGTTGTCAGCTTGTTTCATATTGAAATTGTTTTTTATGTGATTCATATACAGTTCTGTAAAAGGGGAAAAGGCTATTTCTATGTCTGTGAATTCTGTGGTCTACCACCTGATTTATGATGGGAAATTACATGGTGGTTCTGAGATTTATTAGGAGAGGTTAAAAGGATAGGGTTATTCATTTCTTTTTTTTTTTTCCTCCTCAGCTTTTTTGAAGAGGAATGTTTAATTGTAATTCTAAGTAGTAATAAGCCTTAATTGCTCCTACTGAGAACAAAAATATTAAAGAAAATGAATTCCTTTTTTGGGGATACTTTTAATAGTTTTTCATAATGATTATTTCTAGGGTTTTCCTCTGTAAAGGTCCCTGTAGTATCAGATCACATTTTGTGAACCTTTCTTTTTATTCATATTTCCTTTGGTTCTTCTATACCAGTCATTGTTTTTATATGTTTAATGTCTTTCTACCCTATTTTCTACTTGTTCCTAATTGATAATTCTCTTCCATCCACACTTATGAGTGTTTGGCTCATAACTTCCTAGATATGGGGGTTCCGAGAAGGGGAAGAAAAGCGGATGGCTGAGTTCTGAGGATGTTGTTTAATTGTCTCTCACTAGTTCCCTTACAACTGTCTTTGTGAATATGATTCCTTCCGCCTCCTTTTTTAGCACTGTAGTTCAGATCTCCCAGATAAGAAACACAGAGATAAATATTTTATCTTCTTTTGTACATTGGGGTTGGAATATTGCTTGAACAAAGATGGTGAGTCACAGAAATCATAAGCTAGGAAATAAAATCACAGAATTTTAGGGCTTGAAGTGACCTTAGGGATCATCTTATCCAGTGCCTTCATTTTACAAATGAGAGTTGAAGAGGTTGGTCACTTACTTTGATTGAATGTGGAGGGTGAGGTAAAGAATCTTGGATGACCCCAAGGTTATGAATCCTGGTATCTGGAAGGATGGGGTTTTCCTAAATAGAGAAAGGGAAATTAGGAGACACTGACACATTGGGAATTCACTATTGTTTCTTAAATACCATATTCTTACAAAAAAATAGGTACCTTAAATACAACTGTATTCTTTGAATTGGCTAAAAATGGAACTATTGACTTTGTTATTCATTAAGAATATAATATTATAAATAGGTGTTTTTCTTTTTTTGTTTCATTTAATATTTTATTTTTTCCCATTACATGTAAAAACATTTTTAAACATTGGTTTTTAAAACTTTTGAGTTCCAAATTCTCTCCATTCCTCCCTTCCCACCTCTCCTCATTGAGAAGGCAAGCAATTTGCTATAGGTTATATACACAGTCATGCAAAACCTTTCCATGATAGTCATGTTGTGAAAGAAAACATAGACACCCCCCCCCAAAAAAAAACTTCAGGAAAAATAGAGAAAGTAAAAAAAATATGCTTCAATCTGTATTCAGACACCATCAGTTCTTTCTCTGGGGATGGACAGCATTTTTCATCATAAGTCCTTCAGAGTTGTCTTGGATCATTGTATTGCTGAGAATAGCTAAGTCATTCACAGTTGATCATCTTGCAATATTGCCGTTACTTTGTATGTAGTACATTTCACTTTGAATCAGCTCATGTAAGTCTTTCCAGGTTTTCCTGAGAATGGGGTGTTATTTTTATCAGTAAATAAATTACTATATATTATTCCCTCCCACCTCCATTGATCTCTATAATTTTTAATTTTTAAAGGGGGAACTAGTTTAAAGGGGTAGGGAAGGGAAAAAAGTTACATAATAATTTTATATATTTAAAAGGAATAGCAACTAGTACATAATAGATTTGAAGTTCCATGTACAGTCATCTTTTATCCTATTCTGCTATGCTGTGAAAATTCTTGTTTTACTTCTTAAGTTCAGAATAAAATAAATGAAGTGGAAAAAAAAGAAAGGGTGCTGGAGGGCATCCCACAAGAGGCTTGAGGAGCTGCTGTGGAGAGTCTAATATTGAATTAGGGAGGAGTAGAATCAGGAGTGTCCTGGTTAAATTTTAACAGCCACTTCTCTGGGGAGAAAAATTGTAGCCAACACACTTTAAAGTACTCCATTATTGAAATTTTCTCTACCACTTTTATTAAATCTACACAATAAATAAAATAATAAATGAAGCTCTGATTTGTAATGTTTGCTGATTTTTGAGGTGTTAATGCCTAAGTATTTAATAATTGAACTGAACCTTTAGGAGCTGCCTCCAGCACACCCCTGAATAGAATGATTGCCTTGCTGCAGTGAGGGCCCAGTTGAGATTACTTAACATTATACTTTATATAAAGCTTTCTACAATTCTTTGTAGTCTTCATACTCATGATTTCTTGTGGGAAAGTAATATATCATTACATTCTTATACCGCAATGTGTTCAGCTGTACTTCAATCATTGGAAACATTTTAAAAAATTATTTATAAATAAAGCTTTTGTGAAATTTGAAAAAGAGAGAGAGAGAATCATGGGTTTTGAGGGAAAGATTCTAAGTTCCATTTTGGACTTAGGTTTGAGATGCCTATGGGATTTCCAGGTGGAGATGTTTAGCAGGTGGTTGCTAATGCAAGACTGGAGTTTAGGCGAAAGATTGTAGACTGAATAGTTGTCTACTTTGAGATGATAGTTGATCTCATGGGAGCTGATGGGCATCACCTGAAGAGAGAAGGATAAAGTTCTTGGGCCATACTTGGTCAACTTCTGTAGTTAGGGGAAAGGAGAAGGATGATTATGATCATGCAGAGGAGACTGAGAAGGAGTGGTTAGATGTATAGAAGGAGAACAAGGAGGGAGAATGTCAGGAAAGCCAAGGGAGAAGAGACTGGTCAGCCAGGATATGGTCAGCAGTGATGGAAACTGCAGCAAGTTCTAGGAGGATAATAACTTAGGATGGCTGAAAAAATGTTGTTGTATTTAGCAGTGAGGAGATCATTGGCAACCTTGGAGAGTTTCAGTTGAGTGATGGAAATGGAAACCAGCTGGCCAGGGTTTGGGAGGTGAGGAGCTAGAGACACAGTGTAGAGGTGTCATTTTCTAGAAGTTTGACTGTGAAAGGGAAAAGCATAAGATGAAAACTTAAGGGGGATAGTAGGCACGAGTGAAGATGTAAGGCCATGGGATATTGGAAGAACTCTGTAGATAAAGAGAAGTTGAAGATGAAGGGAAGGAGATGATGGTAATTTTGAAGAAACAGGTTCCAGGAGAAGATGGAAGGGACTGATTAAAGTATCCAAGGTGACCTTGGAAAAGAGAAGGATCACCTTTTCCTTGGGAGGAGAGAGTGGTGAACAACAGAGAGGGGTTTTAAAGTGTAAACTACAGTCGAAGGTGGATGGCCTCGTGATGCCTGGCCTTAATGTCTACCCCATCCCATTTCCCCCCACTCCCACACACAAATGGCAAGGTTCTCTGTCACTAGAGGGTGGTATTGGTCTTTAAGAAGAAATGAGAATGGTTGGAGCACCTGGCATATAGTAGGCACTTAATAAATGCTGGTTGACTTGACTTAACTTGATAGTCAATCACGGAAGTACTTTTAGCGGTGACACTATAAATAATGTACTGGACACACTATGGCTCCATTACTTCCTCTGGGGTGTTCAGCAACACAGGAGTAGAAGTGGAGAAGATAAATGATAGCAATTACTCAGGGATGGGGTTTGATAAGACTCGTCCTCCATTGATGGATGCCTATTTTATTTCAAACTCTTTGCTACTGCAAAAAGTGCTGCCATATTTTTTTATGGATGGGAACATCCTTTGTTTTTATTATTGACCTCCTTTGGGTGTCTCCTCACAGTAGAATCTCTCTGGCAAATTGTGTGGTCGTTTTAGTTACTTTCTTTGCAGAATTCCAAATTCCTTTCCATGATGGTCGTACCAATTCACAGCCCCACTAACAGTGTGTTAGAAAGGAGAAAGACATACTACACATTTTAACTATTGAATGGCATTTATGGAAGGTGATACTTTTTTGAATGTAACGGCATTTTTTTTTTCTTTCAAAGGGAATTCGACACGTGGATCACTTTGGATTTATCTGCAGAGAGTCTTCTGAAAATGGAGGTTTTCATTTTGTTTGCTACGTTTTTCAGTGTACAAATGAAGCCTTGGTAAGAGAGACTCATAGTTTCTAGACCTTGTCCCAGTTTAAGGTTAAATTCAAATTCATTTTTGTTTTTGTTTTCAGGAGAGTCAGAAACTTACTTGGTCTGTCGGTCTGAAGTTGTTAATTTTCCTCCTTCCCACTCAGTGGGTGTTTGCTATAGGTTTTTGGTTTCTTACAATATTTCCTAATATATTAAGGACTATTAAGTTCCAGGAGCGCATTTCAAACTATGAATTAATTAAGTTTGTTTGCCATTTAAAAAAGCAAAAGAGAAATTAGTAATTTATTAATTAATAACCCTAAATTGTCCAGCCTTTGAGCCTGATTCATATCATATAAAATTTTTGGTTTTCATTCACTCCCATTTTATCTTCTGTTTGATTAGGTTGATGAAATTATGATGACTCTGAAACAGGCTTTCACTGTTGCAGCAGTGCAGCAGACCTCCAAAGTTCCAGTTCAGCAGTGTGAAGGATGCCCTATGCAATGCCTGCACAAACTTTGTGAAAGAATAGAAGGTCAGTGAGAAACACCTTCCTAATGTAGAAAGGCGTTGAACTGAAATACTTGAAGGAGAAGGGTCTGATTTGTTTGGCAGTGGCAGGGAACTCCCAGCATGAGAATGCCCTCCACCAAAACCAGGGGCAGGGTGGAAGTCCCAGCTGGGGATGAGGTGTAGATATACTGTGATTTAGCGGATTAATTATAGAGAGTTGCCTAAGGCACCCAAAGGTTAAGTGATTTTCCCAGGGTTGCATTATTAGTAAGTTTCCAGACAGTATTTGAACCCTGATCTTCGTATCTCCAGGCAGCTAGATGGCTCAGTGGATAGATCGTTGGGCTTGGAGTCAGGAAGACCTGAATTCAAATCCAGTGTCTGATACTTACTAGCTGTGTGACCCTGGGCAGGTCACTTAGCCTCTGTTAATACACTGGAGGAGGAAATGGTAAACCACTGCAGTATCCTTGCCAAGAAAACTCCATGGACAGTATGGTCCATAGCTTCATAAAGAGTTCACAACTAAACAATAACAACAACTTTGTACTTCTAAGCCCAACAATCTCCTATGTCATGCAACCTCAGATTGAAATTAAATGAATGGAAGAACATTTCAAATGGTATAAATTCATTGAAATTCTCCCCCTGTGCTGTGACTGCTTCTCATCTTCATCTGTTATAATTTTAGACAATACAAAAATGATTTTGTGATTGTACTTTAACCATATAGATCTGTTACTTTACTGTTAAAAAAAATAATGTGCATTAGCTTTATTTTATTTTATTTTATTTTATTTTTGCTTTTTTTTTGGTGAGGCAATTGGGGTTAAGTGACTTGCCCAGGGGCATACAGCTAGTAAGTGTCAAGTGTCTGAGGTAAGATTTGAACTCAGGTCCTCCTGACTTCAAGGCTGGAGCTCTATCCACTGCGCCACCTAGCTGCCCCCATTAGCTTTATTTTTTTAAATTTAATTTTTTTTGGTTCTATTTTAAGTTCCAAGCTGTCTCCCTCCCCACCCTGAACTAGAGAATGCTACCCATTTGATATAGATACACAAACACATACACACACACACACACACACTGTACATACTTCTCTTTATCAGTTTTTCCTCCGGAGGTGGATGGCATCTTTGTAGGTCTTTTGTAGTTGATTTGAATATTTATAACACTCAAGTGCATTAGCTTTCATAGCTAACCTTTATATAATGTTTTAAAATTTATGAAATACTTTGCCTATGTTATCTCAATCAATATTCACACAACTTTGTTGAGGTAGGTGCTATTTTTACTCATTTTCTAAAAATGGGAAAACTGAGGCTGACAGAGATTTTTAAGTAACTTGTCTAGGATCATAGCAAGCCACTAAGACAGGATCATAACTCAGGTCTTCCTGACTCCCTAGTGCAAGGATCCCATCCCCTGGGCGACCTAGCTGCCTCTAATAAGGAATAATGACAATTGTCCATAGTATTTACAATGTTGAATAATATATAGTCAGTTGGGATGGATACATCATAGATTGATAGACTTATAATTAGAAGATATTTTTCGTCTTTGGAGCCTCACTTTCCTCATTATGTAAAATGGGGATAATTTAAAGCTTGAAACTGCACTAGGACTTTTGGGACACTCTGTCCTTGCCCTATCTGTCTATCTCACAGAGTTGAGAGGAGTTAAAAGTCTGTATAGATGTGAGTTGTTATTAATACTATTCATCTTTCAAAGCCCCAGGAGTCTATTTGTTTCTTCTTCCTTCTCAACACCATCTCTCCAACCTGAAGGGAGAATACCTTCGTGTATGTTTTGTGTGTGTGTGTGTGTGTGTATGTTTATAGGTTCTATCTATAATGAGTATGCATAGTCAAGCAAAACAAATTCTGTTGGCTATTAAAAAAAATTGTCTCAGTTTCTACCAAGTTCGTTACCTGCCTGATAGGACGTGGTATACTATAATTCTAGCCATTCCTGAAAATTAATTTTTTTGGGGGTTTTCTCTGAGCTCTTTCCTTTACTACTGTTATCTCTTTTTCTTACAGAGCTATCAAATCTTTTTCTGGTTATATTGATTTTAACATTTTTCCCCCTTCTATTTTTGTCTTTTATTAGGGACAGTTCTCTTCTTTGGTAAATTCAGTGTTTTATTAAGTTATTCTATCAGTTGGGTTAACCTGTTGAATCTCAGTCATCTTTTTAAATTTCCTCCTTACTAACTTTAATTTTCCATCTTTATAGATGCCAGGTCTTCCTTCCTTCTCTTAATGAACTTGTTTTCCTCAGTAAAGTATCTTGAAATAGCTCCAGTTTTAGTCTTTACTGATGGTCCTTCAGATGCTTTTCTTAAGGTTTCTTTTACTTCATTGTGTTGGAGCTTTTCTCCCCCACCCCTTTTGTTTTTTGTTTGCTTCATTTGGTTTATTTATTTCACTTTTTTGGGGGGGGGTCCTAAAGGTTCATTTGCTTCACTTAAAACCTCTCACTCTGCCATCTTGCCGGCATCTCCATTTAATTTACTTTATGTAAATCTTATTTTATAATAAGCATTTCAAGCTCTGAATGTTAGACAGATTCTTTCAGGATGCTCTCTAAGCATTGTAGAGCATCCCCCATCCAGACCTTTTCATCCTGTTCAATTTTCATGCATATTCTTCCTTAAATTCTCTGTGAAGGATCTATCTCCTCACCATGCTCTTGTTCTTTTAATATTTTGCATGTACCAGTGCAGCCCTGAGGGGGTCCATTTAAGAGGTGGCCCTCTCTTGACATGACTGGATAGTCATTCAAAAAAATGCACACATTTTGTGGTGCAAATGAAAAGAACACAAAGAGTCATGTTTCTATTCTTAGAGGTCATCTTAATAAAGTATATACTGGTTACTTTATGGGACTGCTTTATAAGCAGTTCTCGATTTTTCTTGCAATGAGTTCCAAGAAATTGTTCTGTAAAGCAAATTATTATAAATAACATTATGTTTTTTCCATAAGAATAATAGTTACTTATTGCTTATATTTACAGAGTACTTAATGTTATAATTGAGCATTGTGTTCCCACTCAAGGACTGGCTGTCAACTAAACTATAGAGATGACCAGTCATAGATCATAAAGGGAAAGCTATAATAACCTCATTAATCACTTAAAAGAGTAAAATTATGCTCCAAGTCCTGTAAAATTAGCTTAAGTCTCCCGTTCACTCTCTGTGCTATTCGCCTCCGTACTATCAAGTGAATATACATCATGTGTGTTAGCCATTAATTGACAACATTTGTGCCTGCTGTAGAATTTAAAAGAGCTTCTCAGATGATTGGGATGACCTTTGTCTTTTTTTAAAAAAATGTTGCTCAGGAGAGTTTGAACTGACGCTTTTTCCAAGGTCAGATTTCCCTATATGAAAGTGACATTTGGAATCTTTCCATTGACCTTACAGCTGTGTTCATAGCTGAGATGGTTATTTTAAAAGACAGCTGCTGCAGCATCAAAATATCTGAAGGGCCCATTCAGGACTTTGGCAGCGAAGCGCCTAGAGATGAGGAATCCTTGGAATCACGTTACCTTCCCTTTTTCCTTTGCTCTTGTACCCTCCATACTTCCTCTCCTCCCACCTCCACACCCACCCCTGGGCAGTCCTGAAGGGGAATAGTAATGACGAAAGGATGATCCCAAGTGCAGGTGAGAGAGGGGTTGAGTCAATTGTGTCTTTTGTCTCGTCTTTGTCCTGCAGCCAGAGACCTGGGTTCAAATCCTCTCTTAGAGAGCAGGGACATTTTTCTTTGTATCCTCAGCATTTGGCACAGTGTCTAGAACGTAGTAGGCACTTACTTGTTTATTGACTGATTGTGTGATCTTGGGCAAGACACTTAATATCTCTGGGCCTCAATTTTCTCAATTATAAAATGAAGGGATTAGGCTAAGAGACGTCTGAAGTCCCTTCCAGTTCCAAATCTGTGATTCTGTAATCTCTTTTTTTTTAAAATAATATTTTATTTTTTCTCAGTTACATATAAAAACAATTTTTTAACATTCATCTTTTAAAATTTTGAGTTCCAAATCATCTCCCTCTGTCCCCTAACCCTTCCCTGATATGGTAAGCAATTTGATATAGGTTATACATGTACAAATATGCAAAATGTATTTTTATATTAGTCATGTTGTAAAAGAAGACACAGACCCTCTCCTCCCTCTCAAAAAAACCACGGAAAAATAGTGTGCTTCAATCTATATTCAGATTGCAACAGTTCTTTCTCTGGAGTTGGATAGCATTTTTCATCACGAGTCCTTTTGAATTGCCTTGGATCATTGTATTACTGAGAATAGCTAAGTCATTCACAGTTGATCACATACAGTATTGCTGTTACTGTGTTCAATGTTCTCCTGATTCTGTTCACCTCACTTTGCATCAGTTCATAGTCTTTCCACGTTTTTCTGAGAGCATCCTGCTCATCATTTCTTATAGCACAATAGTATTCCATTACAGTCAATACCACAACTTGTTCAGCCATTACCCAACTGATGGACATTCCTTCGATTTCTAATTCTTCGCCACCACTAAAAGAACTGTGATGATTATTTTTGTGCAGATAGGTCCTTCCCCATTTTTTAATCTCTTTGGGATATAGAACTAGTAGTGGTACTACTGGGTCGAAAGGTATGCCCAGTTTTATAGCCCTTTGGTCATAGTTCCAAATTGCTCTCCAGAATGGTTGGATTAGTTCACAACTCCACCAACAATGTATTACTGTCCCAGTTTTCCCACATCCTCTCCAACATTTCTCATTTTCCTTTTCTGATGTATTAGCCAATCTGATGGGTATGAGGTGGTACCTCAGAGTTTGTTTTAATATGCCAGTGCAAAGTTGTGGAAGTGGGAAATGATTTTTTAAAAAATTACAAAACCAGTTATAGTCTGCCTTTTAGATTGGGGGTTTTTAACTTTAAACACCAATTCAGTGTAGTAGGAAATATAGTATGTGTAAAGAATAATCTTTTTTCATCCTCCATTCTTCAGAGTCTAGCTAGCTAGACCAGCCTTCTCTTTGTTTTAACACATAGGACACTCCATTTCCCACCTCCATGACTTTGTACTGGCTGTCTCCCAGTCATATAATAAACTCCCTCCTCAACTCCTTTGCCTTATAGAATCTCTCTCTTGCTTCAAGATACATCATTACTTTCTCCCAAAGCCTTTCCTGATCCATCTACTACATGCTAGTGCCCTCCCGTTCAAACTATCATATTTGTATTTAACTACTTAGTATATATTCTGTATATAAACACACACACACACACTCAGACACACATGTGCGCGCGCGTGCACACACACGTGCTATTTCCTTTTCTAGCTCATTTTATGGAAGAGAAAACCGAGGCAAATGGACTTAAATGACTTGTCCAGGGTCACACAGCTCTTAAGTGTCTGAGGCCAGATTTGAACTCAGGAAGATGGATCTTCTTGACTCCAGGCCCAGCGGTCTATGCACTATGGTGCCACCAGCTGCTGAGTGTATATGTATATATGTATATGGGTGTGTGTATATATGTGTATGCATATGTACGTGTATGTATATGTGGGTATGTATGGATACAAATATAAAATATGCATGTTTGTGTATGACTTACTTGTACACATGCGTGTGCGCGCGCATACACACATACACATATCTCCTGTTACCCACATGAGAACTTAGGCTTCTTGAGAGTAGAAGTTGTTTCCTGTATTTTATTTGTGCCTCATAGCATCTAGCACAGTGCCTGACACATTGGCACACTGGATAGAATGCTGGGCCTGAAATCAGGAATCCCTGAGTTCAAATCAGGCCATAGACACTAGCTGTGTGACCCTGGGCAAGTCATCTCACCTGTGTTTGCCTCATTTCCTCATGTGTAAAATGGGGTGCACACCTCCCAGGGTTGTGGTGAGGATCAAACGAGATAAAAATTGTAAAGTGTTTGTCACAGCACTTGGCCCATAGTAGGCACTATGTAAATGTTAGCTGTTATTTATAAATGTTTGTTGACTGATTGAACATTTCTTAGTTTCGGTTCAAGTCACTTATGTCTGGAGTTCATGTCTTTATTTTTTTCCCTCCTTACTAGGGATGTCTTCTTCCAAAACTAAGCTGGAGCTCCAGAAGCACCTCACAACACTAAATAATCAAGAACAAGCAATGATTTTTGAGGAGGTTCAGGTAGAGTTTGGCTTTTAAAATTTCTGGACAGAATGTAGGCTTTCTTTTCTTCGTCTCCTTGCCTGTCAAACATTATCGAGACAGCTCAGGTCATCTTCTTTTCCAAGCACAGTGTGTTTGAATGAAAGTACATGACCATCTTTGGAAACCCAAATGTACACATTCATATTACCTATTCCTAGGCACATTAAGGAAATCTCGACCAGAAATGAGTTGGGTGCAGATTCTCCTGTCCAGACCCTGGGGCCATAAAACGTCCAAGAGGGCTGGATGAAGGAAGAGTTTGTTGTTTTCATCTTCCACATTTGTTTTTCTTTTCTTTTCCTTTTTGTTGCCATTCGAGGTTCTCCCCCACATTGAACAGAACTGAGCAAGGATGGTTTCTTGAAGCTCAGTAGTGACTTGTAGACTGTGAAATTCTAGTCAAATGCATTCCACTGTAGTCCTGTTTGTCACATTTTCCAGTGACAGCTGACAATTTGTATAATGTACAAAGGACCTTAGAATAGGCAGTCTGACCTGATCTTTAGGACTATCCTGAGAGATAGGGGAGGGCAAAGATTATGGCCATCTTACAGATGAAGAAACTGAGGCCTGGGAGATTTCTTTGCTCACACAACCATTAAGGGCAGACCTGGGATTAAAATGCAAATAAATTTAACAGTTTTTCTTAGACTAGTGTTTTTTCACCTATATTTGATGAATGGTTTGTTTCAGAGCTTTCCTAAGGGTCTTTTAAAAAATGCAAATTTTAGGAAATCAAAATAGGGATTTTCAAAAACCCTGGGATTTCAAATTTAGAAGTCCCAGAGATACACTGTGTCCTTAAATTCCAAACTTTCAAAATATTTTCTTTCTGGTTTTACCATGGTTAGATGTTATTCTTACAGCTACCTTCTGAGAGGTAGCATGGTGCAATGCCTAGAGAGCCCAGCCTTGAAGTTAATATGACCTGGGTTCAAATCTCACATTGAACACATATTGGCTGTGTGTCCGACAGGTAACCTCTCAGAGCTCTAGACTACTTTAAGACTAAAAGTTGTAGAAAAGGTGACAACTTTTATGGGTAGAATTAGAATTTTCTACATCAGTGAAATTCCAGATCTGGTCTCTCTTCCTAACTTCTGATGGGGCTAGGTGTTACTGCGTAGTATGTGTTCTTGGAAAAGCTTTTTCATTACCAATATCGTGATGCACTCTGGACAGGGGTAGGCAGATTCTTCTCTGGGATCTTCTTTGGAGGAAAATTAAATGTAGAGTATCATAATATTCAGAATTTAGCAAAAGAATAATAATAATGAGGAGGAGGACAATCTGTACTGGGCTAGTACAGATGACTTTTGCATGAAGCAACAGTCATATGAAATGACTATTTAAAAATTGAAGTTAATTTAATTATTAAATTAATTTGCTTAAAGTTAAGCAAAATGAGCTCTTTCTGGTCTTTTCCTCATTTCCCTGTTTCCCTTAAAAAAAAAAGGAGTAATCAAGTCTTATTGATTCTTTACCTATTATAATTGTGGTATACATTACATAAAATCTTATAAATGCATCAGAAAAAGCTGTCTGCATAGAATGGGTACAAAATAGATTTTTTTTAAAAAAATCACATCTCATAATAATAACAAAATGCATATACTTAAATGTATTCTTCATCAAACCAATTACAAAGCAGGGAATTTATTGAGAAGTTTGTTATAAATCCTGTTTAACTAGGAGTATTTTCTTTGGCTCATGTTACTTTGCCCGTAAGAAGAATATGTACAAGCCAGGAATTAAATCTGCTTTCCCGTAGATTCTAAAATATAAGGGTGCCAGGTGCAAGATGCTTTGATTTGAATGTGTGTATTTTTATTCCCTGATAAATGTTATTCTATATTCAGTCACTATAAAAATGAAAGAATAATGTTCTTTTTCCTGTTGGATGGCTTGATTTTTTAATTTTGTTTCAGTTCTTTTCCCTGCCTCCACCTTTAGATTACAGCGTGTATATGTAGAAAGAACATATTCTTTAAAATTCCTATTCAGAATTGACTGTGGATGGCTGGGTAGCTTTTATATTTTTCTTATGCCCCCCTTAGGGTTCTTAGGGTTCCTATTTTTCTCCTAATTCATTTTGCCACCTTTTCCCCCTCCAAATTCTTTATTGTTTGTTTTGATGGATGTGTGGTGTCCTGTAATGTAGGGCTTCTGCCACACGTCTCACCTTCTTTTCCTGTCATTTATCTCATAGATAACATCCTTTATGCTCCTTATGTGCAATTCTTGGTGGGTGGTAATGTTACATCTCTTTAAGCCCATCTTATCTACTCTGCATTGCCTTTTGGGTGACTTTCCACTTTAATTCTTCAGAAATTGTTTTATTCCATGACTTACAGCTCAGTGGGTTTCAATCTAGTAGATAAACAGACTTAATGGATTTTAGACTTGGGATGCAGAAATGAAGAGAGCATTGTTAATGCGCACTATGGGTATGCATGTATGCTTGTCTTTGGGATCTCAGACATTCTGCCCAGTTGATGTTATACAGCTCCATTAAAACAATTTAATGTATGTTTTTCTAGCACATAGTGCCTATGAGAGATGTTGAAGGTAGAATTATTGCTACTTTTCTTTCCCTAATGTCTTTAAGGTAGTGTATGACTTTCGTATCAAAGACTGATAAATGAACCATAAATACTTAACACACCTCTGTTGCACTGGAGAACTACTATAGACTGATTCTGACATTCACCTTAACCAATTCAGGGGCTATTTTATTTTATTTTATTTTTTTTGGCATCTGAAGTCATTTTTGCCAGGAGGACTTTGAGGATTATAAAGTTAGAATTGGAAGGAACTTCAGATCATTTGAAGTAGAGGTCCAGCCCAGATTCGTTCCAAACCTCACCTTCTGGGCACTGTGGTCAGTAAATGACTTGTTTCAGAGTTCTCTAAGTCAGGGCTTCTTATTCTGGAGTCCTCATCCCCTAAGGCAGAGATGTCAAGCATGTTAATGGCCTGCCAAAACAGATTAAAATGTAATTGGGATATATTTGACAAAATGAATTAAAATACAGTAGAACATAGATAATATCAATATATGGTTTTCTAAATCAGTAGGCCTCATGTAGGATTTCTCTTTGAATTTGACATCACTGCCCTAAAGAGTCTATGAATAGATTTCAGGGGTCTTGGAACTTGGATGGGGGAAATAAATTATGTCTTTATTTTCACTTTCCTCTAACTGAAATTTAGCATTCCCTTCAATTATTTAAAAACATTATTTTGTGAAGGGGCTAGTTTGCTGTGTCAGATTGCCAAGAGGTTTCCAGGACACACACAAGAAGGCTAAGAATCCCTGCTCTGAGACATCTTGGATTCTGAGCCTAAGGGCACCAAAGTAACAGAAGGCGAGGGGGGAGACATTTTTTGGTGGTGGTGTGGGGTCAGAGAAGGACCTGAGGCCCTTGCCACATGTACGTTACCTCTAAGGGTGTTCCTCATTTCTTGCTATTTTGGGATAAGGTACCAAACACGACTTTAATCTACCTCTAGGGACCAAATCACTACCTTTTTATTTTTCTTCAGAGTCTCCTAACTATAAGGGATCCTGGCTATCCGCGAGTCAAAACCAGTGAAGATGTGCTCCATCAACTCAGGATCCTAGGGTGTCATTCCTTATTCTCTGGGAGGCAGTTTCCCATTTCCAGTTCTCCTTATCCTCCCCCCTTTCTTATTTCCTTGTTATCTCATCCATATCATCATCAACCCTACCCCCTCCGTGGTCCATCTCTGCCCTCTCAATCCACAGTACCCTCTGCAATTCTCAGTCTGTTATTAACAGATAATTCCTGTTGTTCTGGAGTTCTTTCCTTCACATCTCTTTTTCCATCTTTTTGCACTGTTAGAAATTTTCTTCCCCTCCACACTCTGTCCCTGGCTACCCTCTTCAGTACTGAGGGCTTTTCTCTCACCTGAAGCGTCCTGAATTTGAACTTCTAGACTGTTCCTTTGCCATCGCTTCTCTTTCTTTAGGCTGCACTTCAGGCCACCTCTGTCACTTCTCAGCTTGTTATTTAAAGGCATCTGCAATCTGGTTCCCACCTTTTCCATTCTTTTTTCATATTGCCTTCTTTTGTCAAACTGACTTACTAGTGCCTCTCTGTACGTTACAGTCCATCTCCTACTGCTAGGCTTTTGCATCAGGGGTCCCCCACAGTTGGAATGCCTTTTTCTCCCTCATCACCATTTGTAGAGTTCCTGGTTTCCTTCCAACTACAGCTTAGGAAAAACCTACATAAAGCCTTTCCTGATTCTCCCTGTTATTAATAGCATTTTCTACTCTTTAAACTGCTTTTATTATTTTGTATTTACTTAATTGTGTGCATTATTTATCTCCCTAGGAGGATTATAAGTTCCTTGAGGGTAGGGACAGTTTCATTTTAGTTTCTACCCTCAGTGCCTAGCACAGTGCCTGGCATGCAGGAGACACATCATAAATGTTGGATTGAAATGAACTGAACTGAATTTAGTCCATCCCAATTATAAACTCTTTGAGGGCAAGGACAGTTTAATTTTTGTCTCTCTCCTCAGTGCTCTGAACATAGGAGACACCTAATAAATGTTTACTAGATTGAAATGAATTGAATCTAGTCCATCCCCTTGAATTTACAGATGAAGAAACAGATTCAGAAAAGGAGTGCCCAAGGTCACATACTTGGATTAAGCAATAGAACTGGAGTTTGAAGCCATGTCCTCTTATGCTAAATCTAGTACTGAGTCACACAGTTTGAGGGTTGGAAGTCTATGGATTTATTCCAGAGATACTTCTAGCATTCAAAACATTTTAGTAACTTTTTTTTTTTTTAGAACTGCCTTCAGAGTTGAGCTAGAAAGTAAGACTCCTTTGAAACTTGCTCAATTTTGATGAGGACTTGTATGTCACAGTCTATATCAAGAGTCTGTGATTTGTCAGTGGGGTGACTGCTTCTGCTAGCATGGATTGCAACCAGTATACA